GAGCCAGATTCAGATAACAACAATTATTTAGGGTCAGACCATCTCTGCTTGATTTCTGTCTGCCTTTATAGTTCTACTGATACTTCTCAATGGTGACTCCAGTCACCAAAATCTTGTGGTCAACACCACCGGGCCAAGCTTGTAGCTTCTCCAAGGTCGATTCCTTCGTCAGCGAGCTTCAGGAGCCGCAAGTGGCCTGTGATTCTCAGAAATCGCGCCCAGCTTACAACTCAGCTCACACATCATCTGAGTTTGAGTGCTTATCGCTCGGCACATTCCTTCACACAAGCCAGACGACCTTACAATGGCCAGAACAGCTGCCAACGTTTTCCACATTTGACAATATGCCAGGTAACCGCCAACTCCAAAAAGCAGAAATCCTGTTATTATAAATCCAATTATGGACACGTCTTCTACATCCTCACCCAACAAAACTGACAGACACATGATCTTCCACTGCCCACAGGAACCCATTGTGTATCTGTATTCGACACAATTTGGGTTTTTGTGCTGCATCAAGGTCATAATTCTGTTTAGTAAGGCCTTTTTCACCAAAATATGTAAAAATAAGTATACATGCTTGTCAAAGTTTAACCAAAAAGGGTCATGATGCCTTGACAAGACAAACTTACCATTTACTGTCACAGTGCCATCTGGTGGATCTTTTTAGTATTACATACTTCAACCGAATGGTAGAGATGGCTCAATCAGTTTGAATTAGGATTGGCACTCCCTTCTTTGAAATTTAGTGAGACAAATTGTGGTCCATTATTTCGTTGACCACAGTCAAAGGGTTAAAAAATAACTATTATTTTTAAAGCTCTCTTTTCAATTGACTCTACAGACTCGTATCATTGCAGTATACCAGCCTCTTTATGTGGGCAAAGCGAAACAATCTATTGGTAATAACCTCGGGGGTGATAAGGAACACATATTTCATCATTTCATTTCATTGCAGGGAGTTGGCAGACTATTACAAATTAATAGCCAATAAAATGGCAAACTTATTGTGTTTGTTGTTGGTCTTCTGCAGAAATAGATTGTTATCGTTCAGAACAAAACACGCCACAAGTTTTGTGCCCACCGCTGTTAGACTTCTTAATACACAAGTCCGTTCCTGTTGGTTTTATTTATTTAAATACAAACATTAAACATATTTTTGTCTCAGAAATATTTAATTCTAATATAGGCATTTTATCCTTTGGTCTTATTTAAAGCTTATGAAGTGTTTGATGCAGTGTTTTGTGTATTTGCTGTGTTCAAATCAAACTGAGTTACTACTAGAAGAAAAAACAGTTTTTCTGGAGGTTTTCCTTGCTGCCATTGAGCTACTTTGAGATTTTTGTTAATGAAAAGTGCGTTACAAATTAAATTCATTATTATTATTATTATTACTTGGGTCAAAAGAATGTATGCAGTTTCTCAAATCACACGTTTGAGGTACTGCATGCTCTGCTCATACGTATAAAAGGTGGCAAACGTGTTAGAATGTGGGAAAAAAATGGAAGAGAGTGAGTGAAAGCAATTTGTTGCGTTTTAAGGAGATGCTAAATAAAACATACTTTTTCACTCGTCACCATAAAGTGAAGTCACGGGCTTTAATTCTGCACTTAGATGGAAAAGAAACACAACATTGATTTTATGGCGCTTAAATTAAAAAGTTGCCTGCAGCAAATTCTGCACCAATCTTATCGCTCCGTCGCCTTTTGGGACACTGATGTATTTTTCAAGAAAACGGGGCTTTGATGGCTTGTGTACAAGAGTTTTTAAAGAGAAAGATTAAGGACTGTTTGATTCCAGAAAACTTACAAAAGGGGCCTTTTTCCATATGGAATGATGACATATTATTAGGGACTGGCAGTGCATTAAGATCTATTGTTTTATTAGAGTATTACAATAATTAAAATGTTTTTGTTGATTAAAAACGACTGTTGTAATGAAAAGCGGTCAGATTTATGTATAGCTTCGTCCATGTGGCGAAAGAAGATATTCCTGTTTTTGCAATGCCGTGGGTCCTTCTATTGCTCGTTGAAAAATAGGAGATTTTTGTTCCTCAAATGCAGTCTGCCTCAGAGCTCCATGTGGCTGCAGGACAAAGCAGGGATGTGATTTGATGCTGTTCTATTTCTTCTTTTGTGGATATTTTTGCATGTGCATGGTGCTGTGAGTCATAATGAAAGGGCCATTTGTTTAATTTGGCAGGCAGTGATTTGATGGTTGGACAAGGCTGCAGGGTGGCTACTCTGTCGGCGTTTACAGACCTTCAGGTGCCGGTGATCGGTGATAATTTCTAACTTTTCTTTCTCATCATTATACATTTAGGTGTAACCAAAACTACAGCACCCTGTTTGTCTTTATTGTGTGTGAGTGGATGTTTTGATAGATGATGTGGTTAAAAAATAAAGTCAAAATTGTATTGAACCAGAATGTTTGAGCACGTTGGACTTTTTCATTGAACTTTATTTATACAGGTTAGTCTCATTGAGCCTTCAGGACTCATTTACAAGAGCGGTCTGACCTATAGTCCTAATGAGTTTCTGTCCAGAATTTGAAACTTGTTTTGCTTTGTGACAATGTAACTAGAAAAATCGATGAGCAGCTTTACTGAAAATTAGGTCTAATAATCAAAGTTCGTGCTCATTAATTCAGGTAAAAATCCAACAATGTTTAGTCTAATTTTTAAATAATAATTGTTTCAATCAAAAACAAAAGTAGAGAAATAAAAAGATTAGATAATAATGTCCAGTCGGGTCATATCGGTTTCTTCTTCTTATTATTTTTTTTCTGAGACATTTTGTCCTTCATCCAAAGGACTTTATCAGTCCGAGGAGCCACAAACAAACTGAGTCCCACAAGCAGCACACTCCCATAGTGGGGGGAAAAAACAGTTTACTGGTGATAAGATGGTTTCTGGGGCCGCCTTCTCCCCCATCAACTCCTCCTGGTTTTTTTCCACTATGGGAGTGTGCTGCATGTGGGACTCAGTTTGTATGTGGCTCCTCGGACTGAAGTCCTTTGGATGAAGGATGAAATGTCTCAGCAAAAAAAAACAAAAAAAAACCAACGAAACTGTCCAGATGACCTGCACATTATTAGGTCTAATCTTTTTTTATTCCTCTACTTTTGTTTTTGCTTTAAAAGATTAGCACCCTCTGCTACAAGGCAAAGGTGGACAATAATATTTTTGTTGTCATGTTTGTGTATTTTGTTGCTAAAATGTCTCACGAAGCGCTGGATGAATTTTAATAAAACGCACAGGAAGTAGCAACATTGTGGAGTTAATCCAATTCAAGATGTTCGCCACAGATAATTAATCTTAACCTACTCAGAAATGGCCATAGCTGAGATTAATTTATATATTCTAA